AAACCAATAAAATGATCAAATGGGGGGGGGGGCCGGGGCATATAAGTGATTCTTCAGCTGGAGTCCTAAGTATGCTGATGTAAGAGCAAGTCCTACTGAACATGGTAGAAAATGCTTCTGGCTAGCCCAATGTTGTCCAAACTTGGCCACTTTAAGATGAGTGGACTTCAACTCCCAGAATTCCCCAGCCAGCATGGCTGGCTGGGGAATTTGGGGAGTTGAAGTCCACCCATCTTAAAGTGGCCAAGTTTGGACAACATTGGGCTAGCCAGAAGCATTTTCTACCATGTTCAGTAGGACTTGCTCTTACATCAGCATACTTAGGACTCCAGCTGAAGAATCACTTATATGCCCCTGCCCCCCCCCCCATTTGATCATTTTATTGGTTTCTGGTCTATATATCATATGAGTTAGCTTTGAAACACTAAAGAAAAACCCTTCCATCCTTGTCTGATGTTTTTTGAATCAGTTATTGGTTCACACCTTGGGCGACCCTGCTGGAAGTATACTTGATGTATCCTTTTGGGGTTCTTCTCTTATCCCTCCCAGGAACACCCCCTCCTGCCTCAAAAAAGCAACATACCAGGGCTTGAAGCACTTAGGCAAGGAAAGGAGATCAAAAGTTCAAAGTTCATTTTCATTCTCCCTACATCTATTGCCCCCAAAATCAGCAGGTTTATAAGTGCAGAAAACTGATGTGTCCAAAGTTGCACTCCAGCAGCTGATCTAACTGCTGCCCTAGATTCCAGGACATCTCCAGAATGAGGTGATCTCACATATCTTCTCTGATCATGGATGTCCAGAGGACAGGGGGAAATTACAAAATATGTGTCAGAACAAAAACTTTGTCTCCTTTGCTCATGCATCTGGTGTTGCATGAACATTTGTAAGGGGCAGAGCTTTCATCATGATGCACACTTTGTCATCCTAATGAAATCTCTGGATTCTGTGGATCTCCATGTATTTATTACTTATTTTTAAATAACTTTCCTTTAGTTTGCGATAGAGGACTAAAACTAATTAAATGGTCTGGGTTTTGTTTTTGTTTTTTTGGTGGAAGCAAGGGGGACAATGAGATTGAATGCTACACAATCATGATCTCCCACCAGAGGTTTTTCACAGAATACTTTTAAAAATTCATAAGAAGTCTATAGGAAAACTTTGAAATTTAGAACATTCAGAGCTCCTATATTTTTCTGCTGGTTTTAAGAGGTTTAGCTTTCTGGCTTTTGGCCTGTGGTGAAGGAAAATACTAGAGCTTTCAGTGCTGTCCTTGAACTCCGAGTAGTTTTATCATAAACGATGGCATGAAGATCTGAGTTTCTAGCTTATGGTTTAATTGCTTATTTTACAGCCTGTAGGGTTTTTTTAGAGATTAAATCACTAGGAAGGTTTTATTGATGCCCCAGTTTCTCCAAATAATGAAGAGAGGGATCTCTGAAAAAACACAATTAACTTCCTTAAGTTTAAAGGCTAGTGACATTTCAAATTACTAGAAACTGTTTCAGTTTTGTAACCAAATTGATTGTATAATCATTTTGCAAAAATAATAGTTAAATTTAGCTTTAAATCCATGAGAGATAATAAATCAGCAAGCTGTCATGCCTAGATATATAGGAAATCTCAAGTCTCCCAGAAGCATTTTCTTGGAAACATTTTAAATAAATGTTGTGTCTGGGACAAATATATAGCATTCAACTTCCTGCACCATCTCCATCTTAACTGTTGCGTTTAGCAATTTTCACCTGGCATTGCTTGGATTAGAATTAATCCTAATGTCACTTGAAGTGGCATGATCACTGTGAACAGTTCCTTTTCATTAAAGACAGAAGCATCTTAGCCAATTTCCTAATTTCAAAAGCTCCGCTGAGGAAAAAAAAAATGAAACAGAGTTTCTACATCTTAATATTTCAAACAGCTTAGTTTGCAATGAAGAAACCATGTGCCTTTTTTCTGACAAGTTTAGAAAAACCAGACCATTGGGCTTTTCCTATTATTGATGATTACTTGGCTACAGCCATTCCAACAGGCTCCAGCGGTAGAAAAGATGGGAAATGGCCATTTCAGAGGCTCATCTGGGAAAACAGGAACATTTGTTCTGTCTTCCCTTGAACTGTTTCCATCACGGTTGGTCATCAGAAGAACTAAGTCAATCTAGTGTTTCAGATTTGACCTCTAAAATTTGCAGGAAAGTGAACGTGGCACCTGTTTGCAACACTAAGAAGTTGTACCTTTTCCTAAGACCACACTGTCCAGACATCTTTTTGGCTGAAGGATAGGATACAGGTTTTTTTTTTTTTTTTGAATAAAGGGATACATGAGCAAAATGTTTAGGTATTTTGGAATCATAGAGCCAGAAGGGCTATTCAGAGTACTGAGTGCAACCCCTTGCTCAGTGCAGGAATCCAAATGAAAGCAGCCCAGACAAATTGCTGTCTAGACTCTGCTTAAACACAGTCAGTGAAGGGGAACCCACCATCTCTGTGGGTAATTGGTTCCATGGTCAAACAGCTCTTATTATTAGGAAGATTTTTTTTCCAGGATTCAGACAGAATCTGCTTTTTGTAACTTAAAAACATCGATCTGTGACTTGCACTCTGGAATAAGAGAGAACAGATCCTGACCTTCTCTGCAATATATTTTCAACATATTGAAAATATATCTGAAAAGGGCTTTCACATCCCCCCAAATGGTCTTTTCTCTGTTTCTTCACTCTTTCTTCATATACCCCTAATTGTCCTCACTGCTGTTCTCTGAACCTGTTCCAATTTCTCTGAATCTACCTTAATGTACTGTATAATGTCCAAAATTGGACACAATGAGCAGGATCTGACTAAAGCAAAATAAAGCAGAACAATTCTTTTCTGTGATTTGGAAATCATACTCTGTAATGCCTAAAACTGCATTTGCCTTGTTCATTTCCAGTCTTCAATTATTCCAAGATCTTTTCAGCAAGCCAGTATACCCTATACCTGTGCATTTGAAAATTTCCATTCAGTATCTTTCAGCCCACTTCTCTAATCTGTCAGGAACATTTTGACTTTTAATTTGGTCTTCTAGAATATTAACTATAGCCATAAGATGTGTCATCTGCAAATATAATAAACAGTCCCTCCACTTCTTTATCCAAATCCTTAATGTTTTAAAAAATGAAGATTAGAATCTAGATCCTATACTAGTGACATGATCTCTCTCTCCATTTTAATAAACAACTGATAAACATTATTTTGGATACAATTATTAACCCAGGTATATATCCACTGAATTACTATGCCATCCAATCTACATTTAACTATCTTTTTACTCAATATATCTTGGGGTAATTTGTCAAATGCATTGCTGAAGTTAAGGTATATTATGACTATCATATTCCCACAGTGTATTAAGGAAGTTAAGAAAATAAGCTAATGTTAGTGTGGCAAGATTTGTTCTTGACAAATCTATGTTTGACTTAATAATTACTGCATTGTTGTCAAGGTGCATATAGATTTATTTCTTTATTATCAGTTCTAGAATTTTCCTAGGTATCAGTCTTAGACTGATGGCTCCATGGTTTGCTGGATTTTCCTTTTTCCCTTTATGAAGAAAGGAATACGTCCTCTCCTCTAGTTATCTAACACTTCACCAACTTTCTGGGATTTCTCAAAGTGAATGCATAAGGATTCAGCTAGTGTAGCTTCTTTAGTACTTGAAGATGCTATTAATCTGCTCCTGGAGATTTAATCTCATTCAAAGTAAAGAAATATTTCTCAACCATGTTGCTCTCATTCTCAAGCTTCAGTTCTGCCCCTTTGGCCTGCACCATTTCCTGTATGTGTCCTATTTGTTTTTGTATTTTCATTAAGCTTGTTGTATAATCACATCTTCTTATCCTGCCCTCCATTTTTTTCCTTGCTGGAACAAAAAATTGCAACCAACCACCAGCCTCCTTAGTTTGCACTGATGAATCCTAATCCTCTATCATCGGCTGAAATGTGGCCATTTAGTACTTTGATTTTTTCCTTCAAGGACTGCCACAAGCTTATTTTGCTGTAAACTTACGTCAGGTTGTTTGCAGGCAGGAAGATAAATATGCCAGAAGCATGGCAAGTCACAATTACAGGCTCCTGCCTGTTCATCTTCACATTTGCTTCTTAGGGCACAAACAGCAGAATTCCCC